ATATATAACAATACTTTTATTTACTAATATGAATTGAATTAAGTGTGTTTTCAGCATAACCTACCGTAATTAGGATTATTTGAAAGAAATGTATGATCTGATCTATACATCTCATTTAGCTAATTGCCAATTCTTTCAATTTTTAAAATCAGTGCTAACACACCCAGCCCAGTTATGTTTGCTTAAACTGGGAAAAGAAAAATAACAAGAATCCCACCTTCCTACATTGTTCTTGTTCAAAAGAAATAAAACGTGATAGTTTGTAGATACCGGGTTAAGATAACTGTGACTCAGTTACCTTTCTGAAGTGAAGGTATGTGCTCCTTGTTAGTGCAGATAAAAGTTACACTGTCAGGAATGGCTTTGCAAGCACCAAACATGTGGAATAATACTTCTTATATCTGTCTGGCAAAAGAACAAAAAGATGAGTAACGAACCTTTTCTGGAAGCTAAGTTGTGCCCTACATTTTGTCAGTGTTGTGTTCTGTTCACGTCACACTCAAAATATTTACATTCCATACAGTCAATCTTTTGACTAAACACCTGCTGCAGCTTGCCCTCCACTCCCACTGCAGCTGCTGATAAGTGTAGAGTTGATGATGTCACGCCCGCTGAGCGTCGGATCAGACCCGACCTGATGCCGATGTAGCAGCGTGTCTGAAGGGAGGGGGCGTTGGTTGGCTTCCAGCCGCCTCATAAGACAAAACGTTTGTCGCTGTTTATAAAGTCGCTACATTCTTGTGAGCATTGTGAAGCGTGCACGAGGTCACATCCCTGTATGATTCAGCTGCTGATTTTCCTGTAAAGAGGTGACGTGTTTGCTTCTTCTCAAGGAGTGTTTCCCTGAACAGGAAGTGTAAGGGTAATGGAGTAACCAAATGAGTCTTGCTCAATGTGAAACTTTATTTATTTTTTTTACATCCGAAACTTAATATGAAAATGTGCAGACGTACAAATGTAGGATGTAAAAAGACGATATTCCACATTCTTTACTAATGCAACGTTAAGAAACCGTCAGATCAGGCCATACTAGAAATTCCACCTGTTTCTTGGTAGGATCACAATGAACATAATGTCCCCATTATTGGTAACCGTTGTTAGATGACTCAAAGGGAAATCATATACTGATGTTGTTTATCTTCTCTCTCTGTCCATCTGTAGGATCTTAATCTCGACCCCTCTGGCTGTGCTTTCTTATTTCCTCATATGGTACGTTCCTCCCTTTGAAAATGGCAAAGTCGTCTGGTACATCTTCTTCTACTGCCTCTTCCAGACTCTCCAAACTGTGAGTAGCACATTTTCACACACTCAAGCAAAGTCAGAAGCTCTTAAGTTGTGAGCAGCATTAGTTAAACCACTTCCTGGCTGAGATTAAAATCATTAAAAGAGAGTAACGTCAAGCTAATGCCTAAAAGCAGCAGAGAACTTATCAGCTTTTTACTGAGGTTTTGTGTTCTTGGTACTAAAAGTGAAGCATGTTAGATCATTTTACAAATAATTTATTAGCTGGGAGTGGATCATCAAAGTGTTTATAATGAAATAAATAAATAAATAAAACATTATGAACTAAGTATCTGAGTAAAGAATAGATAAGTATATAATGTGAACTGAATGCATATGAATCATTATTAGGAACGCACGGTGGCTCAGTTGGTAGAGCTGATGCCTCTCAGCAAGAAGGTCACCGGTTCAAATCCCGGTCCGGGGACCTTTCTGGGTAGAGTTTGCATGTTCTCTCCGTGCATGCGTGGGTTCTCTCCGGGTACTCCGGCTTCCTCCCACAGACCAAAAACATGACTGTTATGGTGCGTTCACACCAAACGCGATTTCAGCGTCAGGAGCAGCAGGTTTACATGCAAAGTCTATGGTGGAGGCGCTTCAAGCAACGTCGGGAAGTTCTGCGGCGCCTCAAGCGCGATTAGAGCAGCGCGATTTGAACGATTTGGACGATCTGAGCGTCGAACGCTCAGATCTTCCAAATCGTCCAAATCGCTGAAGTTGGGAAATCTGAACTTTTGCAGCTCGACGCGCAGCGTCAACCAATCAGAGAGACTCCACTGTGTGACGTAGCGACATATTTCCCGATGGGACAGTTTAATGAATGATGTCCACTAACCTGAAACAGACGGAGCGGAGCTCTTTAGCTAAAATGAGTGCTGCAGTCGTGTCCTGATCCGCAGCAATGCGTGGCAGCGACTCATCAGACTGAAAAAAATAGTCCTGAAAACAGCTGTGAGCCTCTTCTCTGAATTATCTGGTGAATTAATTATGAATTAATTATCTGATGAACGTGACACGTTCTGGCTGTCTGTAAATAAAGCAAAGCCACTTCCTCGTCCGACATTAAACGGAGCCCGACAGAGGAGGGAGGGGCGGGGAGGCTGTCGCCGTGCGGCGCTTCAACAACTGTCCTGCGTCTGACCTCAAAGTGCACAAGCTTCAGACTTCAGCGTTGGCTGCGATTTTGAAGCTGAAATCGCGTTCGGTGTGAACGCACCATTAGGTTAATTGATAACTCTAAATTGTCCCTAGGTGTGAGTGAGAGAGTGAATGGTTGTTTTTGTCTCGTTTGTCTCTATGTGTGGCCCTGTGATGGACTTGCGACCTGTCCAGGGTGTACCCTGCCCCTCGCACTGTGACTGCTGGAAATGGGCACCAGTGACCCACGCGACTCTGAAAAAAGGAAGAAGCGTGTACAGAAAATGGATGGATGGATGGATATTCATTTTCCTTTGAAATGATGTTTTCTATTATTAACCATATTTTAACATGAATTTTTTCTTCATTAGAGATTATTTTTGATAATTTTTTATTTAATTCTTGCAGTTTTTATTCCAAAATGTGTTTTTCACAATGTCATCTTTTTTTTCCTAAAGATACTTTTCAGCAAAATAACGTTAACTGTCAATCAAAAGAAACAGGGCGGAGCCAGTTGTTTGTTTGGCTCCTTTACCCAAACAAAAGTAATCGCATACCGATATCAAATCATGCCTAAATGTCCACTGCATACACCTTTAATGCATAAGGCTGTGCTGTGGAGCTGAAACTAAAGCTGCAGTGAGCAGGGATTCAGGAAAACTAATTGAAGGATCAGCCAATAGGTGTGCAGGCCCAACCCACTGATGATTGACAGTTAAAGTCATTCTGCTGAAAAGTGTCATTATGAATAAGCCAATGGGAACACCATTATGAAGGATTTGGAATAAAAATAGCTAGAATTAAATAAAAAGGCTTCAAAAATAAGAAGAAGGATGATTTTTTTATAATAATGAGTTTAGAATTTAATATGCGTTCAGTTTTTTCATATTATATATTTGTCTATTATGTATGCATTCACATAAATACTTATTTATTTCATTATGAACACTTTGGTGTTCCATAGAACAAATCTCTGCAGGTTTTCTGTTAATTACTTTTAGCATATAAAACAAGTATAACTTCTGAAGAAAGCTCGTCTTGTGCTAACCAGCTGCTAACATTAGCCTCAGTGTTTTCTCCTCTAACTCTCCTTAAAGTGTGAACAAATTTCCTTAAAATGTTGACCGCTTTAATTAATCCAAACTTGTTTGCACAAAACATGAATCTCACCATTTCTTAATTTTTTTTCTAATCAGTGTTTCCACGTGCCGTACTCTGCCCTCACCATGTTCATCAGCTCGGAGCAGAAAGAGCGGGACTCTGCCACGGCCTACAGTGAGTATCGAACCTGACGGAGCTGAGGACGGGTTAGTCGCCCTTTTCTCTAAGCGCCTGCGTTGTCCTCTCTCGTCAGGGATGACGGTGGAGGTTTTGGGCACCGTGCTCGGCACCGCCATCCAGGGACAGATCGTGGGCTCGGCCAACGCTCCCTGCCTCCCCGGACCCGGTGAGATCCTGGCAGACCTGAGCAACGGCTCGTTCGCCGAACACAACGTGTCGGATCACGCCTTTTCCCTGCAGCACACGGTAAACTGGCCTCACTCTTTTATTTGTGTCGTGTTTCTGAAATTTACTGAACTTTTTAAAACTGTAAAAACTGCGACTTAAACAGTTTCCTGTTTCTGTTGCTTCCCCACAGAAAAACGCCTACATGATCGCCTCTGGTGTCATCTGCTTGATCTACGTGCTCTGTGCCGCCGTCCTGTTTTTTGGAGTGAGAGAACAAAAGGGTGAGATCCCGTCCCTCAGCTGATCCGAATCTGTTTTCATTCTTGTAGCTCTGTTCGCTCAAAATAAGCAACAAAAACCTGACTCAGACCCATAACCGTGTTAGTCAAGGGTGGCTCCTGGTTTGACTGCGGGTAAACCCGTGTCTGTCAGGTGACTGGGCTGCTGTGACATTTGTTATTGGCCAATAAGAAGACCCAGTTGTAGCTGAACTATATGGTATGATTGTGGGCGGATGGGGGAGAGCACCAACTTTGTTACGTTTAATGTTTTGAGAACAAGCCTGACAGGCAGCTGATTCTAAGATGTTCTAAGAAATCAAAGAGATGAGGTTTAGAGGGGTGTAATTATCCTTCAAGTGGAATTAATTGGCTCATTTTTCTGTCTTCTGTTTCCAGAGTCGTCTCAGATCAGGACGGAGCCCATGCCCTTCTTTCAGGGGATTAAGCTGGTGATGGGGCACGGACCCTATGCCAAGCTGGTCATGGTCTTCCTCTTTACCTCACTGGGTTTTATGGTGGGTGTAGATACCGTCAAATGAGCTTAAAGTTATGATTCGTTTTGTAATATAACCCAGTTCAGCCTGTTCTTTTTGATGTTTAATTACGGGAGTGTCTGTTTTGTACCTGCAGCTCCTGGAGGGAAACTTCGCTCTGTTCTGCAGCTCCACGCTGGGTTTCAGAAAGGACTTCCAGAATATTCTGCTGGTCATCATGGTGAGCACGCACTCGCTCAAAAGGTGGCACTTTCACACAACCGGGAGGCGCCGCTTATGCAGCATTTCTCCGGGCAGACGAGACCCCGGGCTGCATTAGATGGAAGCTCAGACAAAAGCGTTCCCCTCCCAAGGCGAACGCATAAATTGTGCTGAACACAAGGGCTGGCCTGTACGTGGTTATAAAACACGGCTTCTTGTTGGGCCTGAATGCCACACCATTCCCACAGACGCTGCCGGAGACACTTTTCACTCCTCTTGTTCCGAGCCTTCCTTTTGATATAAACTCACTCAGCAGATCCTGATAGGAATTCAAGCCAATTAATCCAGATATGTGCCAAGTTCACAAGCTGTAAAACCCCACTGAGTTAGAAAGTCCAGGTTAGAGGGGGCGACAGATTACACTCGCTGAGCCTTTACTTTATGGGTAGGATTATGGAGCCAACATGGGCACCTTACTGTAACTACATTATATTCAGTCAGTCAGGATAATCTGAGAATCTTAATCCTCTTTTTCTGACATTAGATAAAATGCCTGACTGAGCTGAAAGGTTCACATTAGGGCAAAGAAGTGAAAAGCTGCATCTCTAACCAGGTTCAGAAAGGCTGAATGTAACAAAATGTGGTGTGGGGTCAAACCCTGTGCAGATTTCTTTTACCTGGAATCTCCTGAGCTCCTTTTTATTGTCCTATAAAGTGTGTTTGCATGATCTCATAATGTTTAACGTTTGAACAGTAGGCTGATAAGGCTGAAGGTGGAAGGCTGTGTGCACGTAGACACACACGTAGCTGCTGCAGCACGTGAAGACGCGAAATCAGGAGTCAAAAAGTTGATTTCTTGCAGGAAGGTTTCTCAAACTTTCCAAAGAAAGATTTATCTTTTTAATCTGCAGATGACTCACATCCACAGGAAGAGATGGAAAATTACAGCTGCACAATAAACTTCCACGGTTATTTTATTTATTTATTTTTGCCCGCTGAGTTGAACATGAAGGGGGCGGAGCTCCGACACCTGCAGAGCATCACAGTCATGCTGTTTTGGAACAGCTTCATCATCGCACCGTTTTTGTTACATTTAGCGAAAGCATCAGAAATAAAGTATCAGAGTCCTTGACACATTTTGAAAAATGTCCTTTCATGCTCTGCTGTGACTTTAAAATCTTATCTTTGTAAAAACATCTTGTTCAACCAAACATTTCTTTTTGTTTCCAGCTCTCGGCTACAATAGCCGTCCCCTTCTGGCAGTGGTTCTTGACCCGCTTCGGGAAGAAGATGTCTGTTTTCGTTGGCTCCGTGGTAAGGCCAAGAATCCTCTCTAAAGCACAAAAAGCTGAATGGAAATGAGAAGTTTTTGGGAGTTTTAGAAACTTAAGGCAGTGTTGATTGACTTGTTCCCAGATGTGAACCTTTTCACTTTGTTTCTGCCTCCAGTCTGTTATTCCTTTCCTGATCCTGGTGGTGTGTATAAAGAGTAACCTGTACGTCACCTACATCGTCTCGTTCATCGCTGGGGTTGGAGTGGCTTCAGCTTTCCTGCTGCCCTGGTACGTCCATCAGTCTTTATTAGACTGGAGTTTAACTGTTAGCACAAAGTTTTAGAGCATATTTGTCGTTTTGTTTTTTAGGTCCATGCTGCCTGACGTTCTGGACGATTTCAAAGTGCAAAACCCCGAATCCACCGGCCACGAAGCCCTCTTCTACTCCTTCTACGTTTTCTTCACCAAGTTTGCTTCTGGAGTCTCTCTGGGCGTCTCCACTCTGAGTTTAGAGTAAGAGCTCACACAAAGCGACACGTTACTGTGAATGATTCGGAGCAGATTTGTGGCTCCTCGGTGCAGCTTTTTATCCACCGCCCAAGATCACGCCATTAAAAAGTCTAAATGCAGGACCCAAACCCCACATCAAAGCACAAATTCTTTCCCTCAGTTACAGTAGAGCAGCGTGTGCATGCATAGAATGAGGGCTGAAGATTGATCCTGATATAAATGGTTCAAATCAGTCCATATCAATAATTGATTCTTCTTTTTTGATTGTTTTTTTTTTTGTTTTACCTGTTTAAAATAAGGAACATGGCTGTAAATTTGAACTAGCCTGTAGTTTTATTCCTGCCCTTATCTCAGTTTATTTCCTGTCGCGCAACAAATGTGACGGCACTGAACAGAAGCAATGAAGATCGAAAAATGTATCGAAATGAGCAAAATATTAATATTTTGTATTATTATCTTAGAGGCAATACGTGAAGAACTAAGGGATCCACCGTACGAGCTTGTTTACAGTGATTTCTGACAAGAATAATAAAAAACACGTCGATGCAAACGACAAAAGCCTAACAACACAACCGCTTTATCCTAAACTTTTTATACCGACAGATACCGACTCATTCCGTCTCTCCCTTCATCTGCCATTACAAGCAAAACAAATCATGTAGTCGGCCCACAATGCACAAAGGGATAGGGAGATATCTGAATGCTTGCTTAGCTGAGAGGTTGAGTGGCTAAAGCCCACACTGTGCAGTTCTGGATCTGAGTTCAGTGAAACGATCAACATTCTATTGGACAAATGTTTTCTTGATAGTGATCACATTCATCATGATTTATATATTGATATGTTTCCTGGCCCAGCCCTAGAGTCCATAATGTCCTCCTCTAATAAATACAGTTACTCAGTCTAAAAGTTTGTTTCTCTGCAGTTTTGCAGGATACATCAGCAGAGGTTGCACCCAGCCTAAAGAAGTGGACCTAACCTTGAAGTTGCTGGTCTCAGCTGCGCCCGTCGCCTTCATCATCTTTGGCCTGTGTATCCTGTACTCCTATCCCATCGATGAAGAGAGGCGGCAATACAACCACAAAATGTTACAAGAAATGAGGTAAAGGCCCGCGAACCCACACCCTGCGCCGCGTTGACATCCACACAGCCGCGCACCAGACCTGACCCCTCCACTTCTTGTTTCAGGGAAAGCGAGGCTGACTCCGAGTCGGAGACGACGGAAATCTCCAACGTGATCTAGCACATTGTAGACCAATGGGTTGATCAACTGGCACTTTGCACTAGGCGGGACCAAAGGACCCGGTGCCCGTCGGACCGTACAGACGCTGCTGCTGTTCGAGACTTGATCAATTCAGACTGTGAGCCACGCTGAGGCCTTCCTGAAGACGTCCCACCTCTTTGTTTGTGATGTTTTCAGTGGCATGAAACCCACCTGACACCTCGCCGAGCCTTACTTTTTTGTATAACACACTACTGTTTAGTACTGCAAAAAAAGAAGTGTTTGCTTTGAAAGGTTGGGCTCAGCTGAAATTGCACAAAACTGACAGCATTATTGGTGCTTCTTGTTGGAGTTTTTACAGGCTCCACCTTCATACATACCACACTGACCATTAGCATCCTGCAGCAGCGGGGAAATTACTTCTGATTTGTTAATATCGTGAGAAACGGCAACACCGCCTTAATTTCTGTCCTGTTTTGTTTTTCGGTGTTTAAAATGTTTAAACTGGACAAAGTGTGTGTGTATTCTGAACAGGTTTTAACGTCGTACAATTTCTCATCCGTTTACAAAAACAAGTCGGCCAGTTCGTTTCTCTCATCCCCACCTCACCAGCTCCTGGTTTTATTTTAACTTGGATTGCAGTTTGTTTGCACGCAAGTTTATTAAACCATTGTGTAATTGAAAATGTTTTATTTATGCAAGAGCTACTGAAGACAGCATTACCCGCTGTTGCTTTAATTTCTTTCGTTTTGAGCAGAAACGGTGACCGGGGCGGGCGCAATATTTAAATATTTAATTTGTACAAATTCATGTTGGCTGACGTGGTCGTCGTCGCAGTATTTAAACCTATTTAGGCGGTTGAGCTCTTTTCAAAATGAGGAAGAAAAGGTGGAAGTTTTAAAACGCCTCGTTTGTCTTTTATGGCTTGGAGCCATCACTACAATCCTAGCTCTGTCTGCATTTTTTGTTAAAGGGAAGCATGTGTTCATGGTTGGAAAAGTGAATGGGAGAACTGTGCAATGAACTTCCTTTTCTTTTTGACTGTTTTAAAAAGAAATCATGAGGACACTCTAATCACCTCTGTCCTTGTCCAGAAACAAAGAGGATGAGGCATCTTTCATATCTGTTGATATGGAAGTGTCCATGCAGTGTCATATGTTATACATACGGTTACATCTTTGACATGACAACTGAGTTGCCAATGTGAAATAGTTTATTGCAGTCACTTTCTCCCTTTTTCCTACCCTGTATCCCTTTTTAGAGGATACTGTACGTTCCAACATGGTGCTGGTTTCTCTTACTAACCTTGTAATTATTGTACATCCTGTAAATGTGACCTCTGTTATTTTGTCGTCGTGTTTTATGGATTGTCGTTGCATTTCCTCGTGACGCAAAGGCTGTGGCCAAATGTGTGAGCTTTAAATACCATGGGCACACAGAAAAGCCTTGTGTACATGCCTGCGGTGCATATGTAAATACTGTATGTAAACTTGTAAATATCTTTGATATTTGTGGCTGCAGGTGAATGACCCTTGTGTACACTGTACTGTAGTTATTTAAGGAAAAAATACTGCGATGGAAGATGTGTTAATAAAATCTAATTAGGTGTTCTGTGATCCAGCTGCCATCCATTATTTGAAATTAAAATACATTTCTATGCGTGCTTGTGACACTGATGAAATGTGCAAAAAGTCAACCCATCTTTTAAACATCAAACAGAATTCCCAACAAGTAGATTGCACATTTTTATGATATAATTAATGAAATAATTAAAACAAGACATATCTAACAGTACATTAAAAATTTGCTACATATTGAAGGCCAATCTTAACATTTGCAGCACTGAATAAGATAAGAAAATTAAAGTTTAACACATACTGCCACCTAGTGGTGAAATAAATAAAATATTAATTTAAAGATTATTAACTTAACTGTATTACTTGACGAGATGGGATATGCAAATACGTGCACATTTTAAAAAACTAACGTTTGAAATTGTATGTTTGACAATTAATTTAACACTGACTGTTTTATTTTGAAAAGCAGAACCAAAACCGGAAGTGTTTCCGGTTTGCCACTAAGCAATAACAAAAGCAAAAAAGCGGTACGATTTCTTCATATTTTCTCACAAGTAGATTGGTTCAGTTTTGTTTACAAACCAACGAAACTCTTACCGCAATAATAAAAAAATATATATCCTTACGGACAAACTGTTTGTTTACGGACTTGTGAGAGCAACATTTGCTGTCCGTTCAGCCGAGATGGCTGCTAACCCACCCGGGCAAGGCTTTCAGGGCAGGGTGGCCATCCTGGCGGAGCTGGACAAGGAGAAGAGGCGGCTGCTGCAGAGCCAGTCCATGAACAGCCCCGGAGCCAACATCCCGCTGTCATCCAGAGGCAGCCTGAAGGAAGTGCGGGACAGCGCGGAGCAGCAGCACATCGCCGCCCAGCAGAAGGCCGCCCTGCAGCACGCGCACGTCCACTCGTCCGGCTTCTTCATCACCCAGGACTCCTCGTTTGGGAACCTCATCCTCCCGGTGCTGCCCCGGCTGGAGCCGGACCTTTGACCCAGTCCTGTCTCAAACACTGACCCTGGCTGCTGACTGTCTGAGCGGGTCTCATGCTTTGAACCGAACTCACAAAACTGAATTTATTCTTGTTTCGTTTTTACTTCTTATAAACTGTTGATGACTAAACCTAATGAGAGCAGCTCCACCAACCTGATACTGGTCCCACAGGTCAACTAGGACGAATAATGCATGATAGAGTTATAGGCACTTTTTACCAATAACTTGTAATTTATATTAAATGTGAGAGTAAAACAGAAAATATAATTTTCTGTGAATATGCTGAAACTGATTTGCTAATAGAAAAAAAGTTAAAAGTAGCAAAGGCTATTTAAAAGTAATAATTAATTTATAATTGGAATTATAATTTTAATTTCATTGTGCTCTGTACAATAACAATAAAGGTCTAATCTAATATGGTAGCTAAAAGCTCAAAGTAACTACCTGTCTCAGTGAGATTACCCGTAAGAAAATAAATAATAAAAGCTAAAAGAAGTCCATGAATAAAAAACAAAAGCAGATTTTGAAAAAAAAAATGCTTTTAAAATATATCTATGGAGAAAACAATTGACTATTAAGTCAATTTTTTTACATTATTATAAAAGTTACATAAACATAACCAATCTAAATGAGCTGAATGTTTTGATAAATTATTGTCTAAAAGTGAACATATTCAGATTGTAACAGATGTATGAGAAAAAGAAAACAGCAAAGCCATGCTTCCACACTATTTTAATACTTACTACTACTCTGCTTTAATACTATTACTATTTTGATTTCTAAGCAAATGTTAATATATATTATAAGAGAGACTAGTTCAAACTTATGTCCTGATGCATCTCAATAATCCAGGTAGAAAAAAGAAAAAATAAGCATATCCTCTGGATGGGTTCTTCTTTAGTGAGACTTCTTCAGTCTGATGAGTTTCAGGTGAACTCAGCCTTATAAGCACTGCCTCCACATGTTGGACAAACAGGTTAGTCATATGCAAAAGAGGACCATCGCCTAACAATAGGCTTGATTAGTCCAGTCCAGATGTTTTCCTCCTACAATGCTGTTATTGTAAGTTTGACTCAGTCCCCTGTGAGCAAAAAGTGTGAATCAGGGCCCCAACGATAACCAACACAAAGAGGGAAAAAACAAAAACAAGGGGACATTGAGCCCCGCTTGCACTCACTACATACACAAAACACTACACATAAGAACCACAGCCGAAGCATCCAAACCAATAAGTCAGGTGATGGGACACATGACCCTCTATAAACAACAGAGCTAATCAAGCCTATTGTTAGGCGATGGTCCTCTTTTCCATGTGACTAACCTGTTTGTCCACGAGGAGGCAGTGCTTATAAGGCTGAGTTCACCTGAAACTCATCAGACTGAAGAAGTCTCTTGGAGGAGAGACGAAATGTTTCACTAAAGAAGAACTCATCCAGAGGACCTACTTATTTTTCTTTTTGATAGCTCAAACTTACGACGAATCATTAAAGTATACACATTTAGAGGTTGTGTATTAATTCATATTAGGTAATATTTTAAAACTAAGTTAAAGGTTTGAGAGAAAGGCTATTAATTTGATAAAACACTGATATAATCAGACAATAAATAAACAAAGGTATGGCTTATACGTTGAAAATGAGATTTACTCTATGTTCAGCTCTGAGATCTGCGCTCGATTGCTTCAGTCTGCAGGCGGAAGTGAATCGATAGCAGAGCTGACGCTGACGCAACCTTCTGACAGCTCCGCTGTTCTCACTGCTCCACGTCTCATTATAGGCACTTTCTGAGGTCGGTCACATACTTTGAAATATCTCTTTAAGGTAGAGGGTCACTGCGAATTAGATACAAAATAATAAATAAGTAATTTACTTAAAATAAACACCGTTTTTAGCTCCGTATCTCGTTGTTAGCTGCACATGGTTCATTGCTAGCTTACTGGCTTTCAGTCCATTCATCGGTACTGATCCATTATGTCGCTTGTAGCATCCTGATAAAGTCGTCTAAAATATTTATAACCATACAAATAAAGATACATTTTTAATTAAATGACTGTCTTTGTCATGAATAACTCAATTTGAACGCATCACAGAGAAAATCTGCTATATTAAACAATAATTACACCTTTAAGATCTGGTTCTATAATAGTAAAAGAATACAGAGAGTCAAGTTTTCTTCTCCTGTCAGGCTGAAACTGGTAAAAAGTGATATAAATACAAACCTACGCGTTGTTTTGTTGCCACAGGACCCCGGGTCATCATGGGAGAGCAGCTCAGTCCAGAGGAGAAGTACAACCTCATCAGCAGGAACCTCCAGGTGAGACAGGCTAACATGGATCCACATCCACTACAGCGATCACTCTGACAGGCTGTGTGGTCTGCAGGAGGTTCTCGGGGAGGAGAAGGTGAAGCAGGTTCTTCAGGAGAGAGAGCTGAAGGTTTACTGGGGGACGGCGACCACCGGGAAACCCCACGTAGCTTATTTTGTCCCCATGTCCAAGATAGCAGATTTCCTCAGAGCTGGCTGTGAGGTGGGTGCACGTCGTTCAGCTTTATGTCTTTTAAAATTTGTTATTCACACGTTTGCCGTTGTTTACGTTTCCCAAATTTTCGCCCTCAGGTGACAGTTTTATTTGCAGACTTGCACGCTTACCTGGACAACATGAAGGCTCCCTGGGAACTGCTGGAGCTGCGGGTGAAGTATTACGAACATGTGATCAAGGCCATGCTGGAAAGCATCGGCGTGCCTCTGGAGAAGCTCCGCTTCATCAAAGGAACTGACTTCCAGCTCAGTCGGTCAGTCGCGCTCACACTTCCTCCTCGTGGCCGTTCTGTAGACGCGTGTCTAAACGTGTGCTCCTTCCTGTTCGCCAGCGAGTACACTCTGGATGTGTACCGCCTGTCCTCCATGGTGACGGAGCACGACGCCAAGAAGGCTGGAGCTGAGGTGGTCAAGCAGGTGGAGCATCCTCTGCTGAGTGGTCTGCTGTACCCCGGACTACAAGTAATCCCACTTTAATAAATATAAATTGATGTATAGTTACTGTAACTAAAAGGAGGCGAGATGTTTCATTCAGAATTAATCACAATAATATGAAGTGTTTTTGTGGTTACACAGCAAAAATACCAGTGTTACTTTAACACCAACAAAGTGTCTGGTATGTGTTAAATTTTAACTAGAGATGTGACGTTCGTGAACGATCCAGTCTTTTGAACGGTTCTTTACAACGAATGATAGGAGCCGAATCGCGGGCAGTAACGAGCCATTTGTAGTTTTATTTCTTTTATTCCTCATATAATCTTTATTTTTCTCATATTTAAATCACTCCCGCTTTGCTTTTTCACGGAAAAACAGGCGGAGTTGTGGAGTACAGAAGCTCACGGTGAAAAGGGGGAGGGGGATTTCCGCTTAACAAACAACATGGTTCCGCCCACGTGACGGGATTACGTTATTACGTACGGCTACGTGATGACGTAATACGTTCAAAACTGAATGGCTCTTTTGAACGGCTCTATGAAACAAACGGCTCCCCAAGATCCGGATCCCTTCAAAGAGCCGTTTATCTCATCTCTAATTTTAACACACATGTTTTTGTTAAATTAACACCAACCAGTGTTTGATTTTCAACAGTACTGGGTGTCACATTAACATTTCAACAGTAATAAAATATAGTATTTAAAGTAACACCAGTGTATTATTATTATTTTTTTTATTAACAAAGGAAATTATGGTGTTAAAATGGTTAACAAACAGCACAAGGGCTGTGTCCAAAACGGCAGGCTGGGTCCTCCGAAGGCTGAATTCGTCGGCCGCATACGTCACAGCGTCGCGACGAAGGACGTCCAAAACCGAAGACTCCTCCGATGCAGCCGACAAATACGTCCTTTTGGCCCGAATCGAAGGACAGGTCCGATGGATCCTTCCCGGCCCAGCATATCCCATAATGCATTTGCGGCCTGACCGGAGATTTTTTTGTGCTAGTAATGGCRGACGAAGCGAGAGAAAAGAATACATTTTAAATAAAAATATGGTGATWTAAAAATTAAAAAAAYTAGCGGTTGTAATTCTAATACTTTTATCATTTGTATGGACATGTTTTTACATATTATTTTTATCATAAAAACACGAAATAAACATGCACCTACAGCAGGTCAATTAGTTCTTCAAATGATAACTTTAAGTTAATTTTATAGATTTGTGATATTAATAATGCTAATGTATTGATATTATTCTAATTTTGATTTAAGTTTGCTTGTTTAGCGTCATCACAGTTGCTAGGTGACATGACGTACGCCGGGGTAAGGAGGGGAGGCTAGACCGTCCAAATTCACAGCCTCTTTTTTTCCGGTCTTCCCGGTCTACCAAGGACCCGGCCCGGTGCGACCGGGGAGTCTGGGTCCTCCGGAGGACCCGGCCTGTCGTTTTGGACACAGCCAAGGTGTCAATACACCATGAAATTGAGAGGGTAAATTTAACACTCAGAGTTAAAATCAAACTCTTTGTAGTGTTGCATTAACTCTGCTCAGTAGTAGAAAACTATAATGGAGTCACTCTTCACACACCAGGACATACCTCTCACTCATGGTCAGTGGTGGAGAAAGTACTCAAACACTGTACTTAAGTAAAAGTACAGATAAGCAGACAAGAATGTACTCTAGTAAAAGTAAAAGTACCACATTAACATTATACTTGAGTAAAAGTAAGTAAGTACTTGCTTTTAAAAATACTTAAAGTATTAAAAGTAAAAGTACTTAATGTGCTTAATGTATTCCCTAATGGTCTACAATATCATGAAGTGTGCCTACTGGATGTATATTTTAATACATCAATGGTGCCATTTTAGTGAACAAAGCTGCAGATAATGCATAGTTTTGTGTTTACACTCTGACACTGATCACACTTGTGGTTCTGTGCATCATCACATATTGTGACAACAGCTGCAGAAAATGTAAATTCACCAACCTCCTCTATCAAATCTCAACAAGTCATTTATTTGAACCAGTTAAATAAGGCCATGAGTGGCACATTTCCTCCGTGGTGGAAACCATTGTGGGCATGCTGATGCTCTGCTTTTTTATGAAGGAGGGTGTAATGGTACTTTGCTGCTTTGTTGTTTACAGCAATTCCCCCTCTCGCCACTGATTATTTTCTAACAAAAAAATCAAATAAACCTAAAATAAAATAAAATAATAAATCAATGTGACATGAATGTACTTTGTAATTCAACGCATTACAGAAATGTAGTGGAGTAGAAAGTACAGATACTTAATGTAAAATGTAGTGAAGTAAAAGTCAAAAGTACACATGATGAAATCTACTTAAGTAAAATACAGATACATGAAAAATGTACGTAATTACAGCAAGAAAGTACTTGTACTTAGTTACATCCCACCACTGCTCATGGTGTCGATTTTTGGCCAAAAACACAAACTTCAACTTGAACAACTTGATCAAACTGAACAAGAAAACAACCAGAACAACTAATTTTTACTCTCATGAACTTCTTTTAATAGTCATAAACATTCAAACACATCATTTCTACAAGATTACCCAGCATTCCTTGCTGAGAAAATACTGGTCTGTCTGACATGAGGTGGAATAGGGCGGGGCTTTTCAGAATACTTCTTTCAACACTGCATGGTGTTACATRACAACACTGTTAAGTGTTATTTAAGACTTAACAGTGGGCGGCACTTCTGTAACACTGTCCAGTGTTGAGACAGCACTGCGGAAATCAACACTGTGACTTAACTCCAACACGGGGTGTGAGCTTACTCAAAGTGTAAAAATAACACTAGAGGGAGTTAAATTGACTCTGAGGAGTTTTAACAATGACATTTTAACACTCCTGTTTTTGCTGTGTAGGCTTTGGATGAGGAGTACCTGAAGGTGGACGCCCAGTTTGGAGGAGTTGACCAGAGGAAGATCTTCACTTTGGCAGAGAAGGTAGATCCAGTTTTTCACTTTTACACTTCAACTGAACCAAACGGACACGAGGAGAATCTGCTGTGGTTAAAACATGGTTTATTTTTGATTAAAAACTGGTTTTACGAGGCAAACTCAGCACCAGTCCACTCCGTTGACTTAAACCTTTTATTATGGCCCCCGCACACGAAGCGCCAGCAGGAGTCATATTGTTTTCGTACTGTTTTTTTGTTTTTGTTTTTATTTTTTTCTAGTGATTTTTGGTCAACTGTAGCACAAAAACGGCTGCACCAATCAACATGAAATTTGGCAGGATTGTAGATGAGTCTGACCTACACTGCACCAGCCAACGGTTTTATGATAGACCCCATATTTGAGGAGGGGGCTTCTTTCAAAGAGGGGGTGTCTGGACATGTAAAAATGCTTATAACTCAAACTGTTCAACATAGAAGCTTCAGATTTCTTTTGTTGTTTAGCTCTGATGAAGCTCTATCCATCAGGCCCACCAATCAGTGCCCCCACCCCCCGGACCCCCAATTTATCTGAAAAGGGGGTATCTGGACATACAAAAATGGTCATTGCACAGAAACTATTAAACATAGGAGCTTCAGATTTTCTTTGGTTGTTTAGCTCTGATGAGGGTCTATTCATCAGGTCAACCAATTCCCCCCCCCCAAAAAAAGGGTAAAAGACCCCACCCAAACCACTACAATTATGGCATGCACCTGGTAGCATGACATTTATTAGGAATAAAGACTTCTGAGTTCTGGTGCATTTGTGCGTGCGGGGGTCATTATGTTTCCGCTATGCGGTATTGTGTTTTTTTTGTTTTGTTTTTGTTTTGTTTTGTTTTTTCAGTGATTTTTGGTCAACTGTAGCACAAAAACGACTGCACCAATCAACATGAAATTTGGCAGGACTGTAGATAAGTCTGACCTACACTGCGCCAGCCAACGGTTTTACGAAAGACCCCATTATGTTACCGCTATGCGGTATCTAGCCTTTGGATCTATCGTCTGCCACCCTTAAAGCTTATACAATATTTGCTTTTTTAGATGTTTTATTTTCCCGATATCTGTGATATGCTTTGATGAAAACACACCAGTGTGACAGCACCAAAGCTCAGTTATATGTGAGACATGTGGGACGTGTGTTAGGAGTGACAGGCGTGGGTGGGACTACCTACTCAGGGGTCAGCACCGAGCCTCTTGTTTTCAGTGCTGATGAACAAGTTGACAGATGAGCTCAGCTCCCAGAAGACTTTGATGTCTATAGACAATATTTTAATGTTTGGTGAGAGAAAGAGGTGGAGGTCTGCTCTGGAGAGAAAAAGACAGTCGGAGAAGAAAAAAACAGAATGATGAAAGGGTTTGTTTTGTCTTAAAGACTAAATGTTTAACATTCAGGCTTCTTTAGCTTGATTTGAAACGTGTGTCGTACGATTTGTAACTGCAGCTTTGCTCATGTCTCCTGCAGTACCTGCCTTCTCTTGGTTATGCAAAGCGAGCTCATCTAATGAACCCGATGGTCCCAGGATTAACAGGGGCCAAAATGAGCTCCTCGGAGGAAGTAAGGCTGCAGAAATGTTTTCAAAGGAAACTAAACATTGACACTTTTTCTGTAGATTTCCAGGTAGATTAAAGTTGTTAAACATCTGTGAGTTTAGGAGTCAAAGATCGATCTGCTGGACTCTAAAGAGGACGTGAAGAAGAAGCTGAAGAAGGCTTTCTGTGAGCCGGGCAACATCCAGAACAACGGAGTGCTTTCTTTTGTCAAACACGTCCTCTTCCCACTGCGAGGAGGTAGAACTCTTTTGTTTTTGTTTGTCTTATTTGTTCTCCACATTTAAAAAAAAGCACTTTGATTATTGAGATCTTTGTGTTTCAGGTTTCTGCATCAAAAGAGATCCCAAATGGGGTGGAGACAAAATTTATTCTGTGTTTGAAGAAGTGGAAAAGGACTTCTCTGAGGAGGTGAGCTTTAGTCTTTGATGTTTATCAGATGAAGACAAACGGGACTAAAAAGAGATGATTTTTCTGCTTTTCTTCCAGCTGATCCATCCTGGAGACCTGAAGGCCTCAGTGGAGGCAGCTCTGAACGAGCTGCTGGAGCCCATCAGGAAGAAGTTTCAGTCTCCCGAGCTCCGGAAACTTACCAACTCGGCCTATCCTGATCCCTCGAAGACAAGTCTGTTGAACTACACACGTTGACACAAAGCTGCAGCTGGCTTCCTGCTTCGGCTCATTTTCATGTTTTATCAGAAACAGGAGGAAAGGGTGCTAAAGCAGGAGGAGAGGAGGACGAGCTAGTGCCCTCCAGACTGGACATCAGGGTGGGCAAGGTCATCAGCGTGGAGAAAGTAAGTGACTTGATGCCAATTATATAAAATTGTAACATCATTTTGTTGTTTAATGTAGAAATGCAGCTTTAATGTTTTTGTTGACATTTGTGGACGCTGCAGTAAAGTTTGGGCAAAATCATATCTTGCAGTTAATCAGAAACGCTGCCACCAATTATTATTTGGTACTTTAATTAATGCAATTAGTGACTTGTATAATGTATTGTGCTGAGCTAATGCTAATGTGACGCTAACAAGAGCTAACTCTAATGTGTAGCTAAGACTAACGCAGAGCTAATACGAATGCTAGCATGAAGTTAACACAAACACAGTACTGATGCTAACACTAATGTGGACCTAACACTAACACGGGGCTAAAGCTAATGAAGAACTAATGCTAACACTAACATGGAGCTAACACTAACACAGGGTTAATGCAAATGTAGAGTTAAGGCTAACTCTAACTCAAAAGTGGAGCTAACCCAGACCTAGAGCTAACATTAAGGCAGAGATAATTTTGATTTGATTTGATTTATTGATTTAACAGGAAAAGGTCACTAAAAATCAAGCCTGACTCAGCATAATTGCTGTTTTACAGCAGGTTCCTGTTCTGCAGCACATAAAACACTCAGAAATACAGTATCACAATCACATCATTATTATTACACCATAGACACAAAGATAAACAAGCATACCAAATTTCAAAAAGGCAGCATTTGCAAAATAGGATGTCTAAATATGAGCACAACAAAAGTGTCCAGCAGATGGCAGACAAGATTCTTCTTAAAGGGCTGTAGTTTTGAAATGGACTTTATGTTTTGAGGAATGTCATTCCATGCTTTAGTATAAACAGAAAAAAGACCTCTGGCCGTAACAGTTATTAAAAGTTGGTAATATCAGTTGTCCTTTTGTAACAGATCTAGTTGAATGACCACTTCCAGAATTTGATTTGGGCAGCAATGCACAAAGAGTTCCATAACTGGCACCTTGGAAGATCTGAAAATATAAATTAATACCACTATACAAAACATAATTCAGAAAAGTCAAGGCATCAGACAATGAAAGAACTGTACAGTGATGAGTCCAACCAGGAAAATTTTTATGAATTTTGTAGGCCCTGTTGTAGAGCCTAACTATGGGTTCTAAGATTTCATTTGTTGTAAGAGACCAAACAGGTAAACAGTACGACATGGTTGAGAGTATAATGGCATGAAGATAGATATTTGAAACAGAAGATGTCAGATTGGATCTAATTTTTGAATAAACATATAATTTCTGTTTCAACTTAGTGTTTAAGACTTGTACATATTTTAACACTATGAACTTGTTTAAACACCTGAAATACCAACATAAACTGGAGTACAAGGAAAGCCAGATGATGTGGACCAAGTCCACAACGTTGGCTGCAACAAACTCTCCTCTAGCGCAGTGTTTCCCAAAGTTGGGGTCGGGACCCACAATGAGGTCCCAAAACATCAAGGTGGGGTCCTGAAAAGAATTTCTGAAATAATTATATAACATTTTTTTATTTATTTATTTTTTTGCTTTTGTCATTTAAAAAGAGTATTTAAAATGGACAAAAGCAGCATATTGAATTTTCATCATCATCATCATCGTTTATTTATAAAGCACAATAAAAACCAAAGTGCTGTACAGGAGCATAAAATAAAAACAATGAACAAAGTACAGTAATAAAATGAACAATAAAATCAAATAAAACAGCAAAGGCTGGCCTAATGATCCTGCTCTTCAGACTCAAATGCCTGTTTAAACAGATGAGTTTTGCTACTATGCTCTTATTTTTTTTGACGTGAAAACAGTGTTTATCATCCAACAACAGTTGGGGGCTCAGATCTCTACTGCTGGTATTTTGAGGGTCAAAAGCTGAAAACGGAACCACTGCTCTAACAAATGATGGAAACAAATGTATTCACCTCTGTCTCTTATGAGCGGCGAAACAACATGAAAGGAGAATGTGGGGCGTGGCTTAAAATGAAGACTAAAAATTTAATAATTCTAGATACAGAGTGACTATTTAGTCAAAAACACGCAGTTCTCTATTAATTTTTATCAGCTAAATGACACAATTAATTGTGATATTTCTTCCCATTACCACCCAACCTGAATCTGCAGCACCCGGATGCTGATTCTTTGTACCTGGAGAGGATCGACGTGGGCGAGCCTGAGCCCAGGACGGTTGTCAGTGGGCTGGTGGCCTACGTTTCCCAGGAGGAGCTGCAGGACAGAGCAGTGCTGCTGCTCTGCAACCTTAAACCACAGAAGATGCGAGGGATCGAGTCTCAGGCCATGCTGCTGTGTGCCTCAATGTGAGGGGCATCTAGAGTTTTTTAATGTTCATGTGCAGACAGTTGTTTTTAGGACCACCTTTAATGTCGCCCACTTGTTTTCCAGAGAAGGGGAGCCCAGAAGGGTGGAGCCACTTGACCCACCAGAGGGTTCGTCACCAGGGGATCGGGTCTTTGTGGAGGGCTACGAGTCAGGCAAACCAGATGATAGACTGAACCCGAAGAAGAAGGTGTGGGAGAAACTGCAGGTAAGTCCCAGTTTTACTTTTTCTTCTCTGAAAGTTGAATTTCTTTATAATAAATAAGTTTAATGTTTGATAACAGGTGGACCTGAAGGTCTCAGAAGAGTGTGTGGCTCAGTGGAAAGACCGACATCTGATGACCAAACTGGGACAGATCACATGTAAGACGCTAAAAGGAGGCAACATCAGTTAAATCCACACAGATCACTGAAGCTGCTCCTGTCCACCGGTCATCACCAAACCACCATGCCAACAAAATCAAACTTCATCTGGATGCTTCTTAACGACATGATGGGAAACCTGACGCCAAAACAGAACAATTCTTTCTTTGCTAAGTAGTGTGCAACTCCTAACTGAGTCAGTCACAACAATAACAAATAACATGAATTTAAATGTACACAAATATTTGTCAAATTACAGATAAGAAGGATCTTTTAAAGTACGGTGTGAAGAATATCAGGTTTCTGAAAAGGGGCTTAACATTATATTGTTAATGTTTACAATCATATTTAATGTCAAAACTGCATGGCAGTTCTGTTCATGAAGAATGCTTTTAAAGGTCATGGACATTAGCTACCTTGAGATAAGATGGTTATATTTAGGGTGATGCTCAGATATCCATATTTTCAGATTGTCCTGAAATAAATAATACATCATCCGTAATATAAAAAAATGTGTGGGCTTAATTCTTTTCTGCAATGAAATAAGAGAAAGTTAATCCTCTTAGTTCAAGGGTTTTATGTATCAAGACAAACCAGGTGCTGCTGATCAAATCATCTGTTTGAACATCTGTATAAAACAACTGGAGTTGAGACACTTTCTCCTAGCTGCTCAATGTGGAAAGGATCAAAAAATCTGATAAAGAGTTTAGTAATAATCCAAACCACTCGACCTGACTGGGAGGAGCATGCAGAAACACAGAGGTGGGTAGAGTATCCAAAAGCTGGAGTAGCACTGCTTCCACATACAATAAAGTTACTGAACTGAATTAGTTTAACTTGAGTAAAAATGAGCTGTCCAAAAATTACTCAAGTAAAATTCAAGTTTTCTGTAAAGGCTACTAACTGATCATAATATCTGATTTAATATTTTAAAATGTCATCAGCCTGACAAAAAAACGATGTGCAAATTTAGGTGTTTTTAAAGATTAAAAGAATATGAATAAATAACATAATTACAAGTAAACAAATTCTAGTGGAAGAAACACTTTTCCAAGTATCATTAAGAAACTAATACAGTAATGTGTGTACAAACTCACACACATGTATGTGTATATATATGTATGTGTGTGTGTGTGTGTGTGTGTTTACACAGATAAAATTGTTAGTACCCCTCATTTAAGGAAAGAAAAAACCCACAATGGTCACCGAAATGACTTGAATCTGACAAAAGTAATGATGGTTGTTATGACAATATTTACTTAACCAAGACAGAAATACGTGGTCCAAGAATGAAGGTAMTCTGTGAGATAATCAGCTGAGTTTTATTGCAACAACAGGAAACAGAGGCGCAGCGTCTGCTGTAAAGCGGGCGCTGCACCGGTCCGTCGTGGTGAAGAGAGCTGAGTCAGAAAGCGAAGCTCTCGATTTACCGGTCGATCTACGTTCCTACCCTCATCTATGGTCATGAGCTTTGGGTCATGACCGAAAGAACGAGGTCCCGGATACAAGCGRCCGAAATGGGTTTCCTCCGCAGGGTGGCTGGACTCTCCCTTAGAGATAGGGTGAGAAGCTCGGTCATCCGGGAGGGACTCAGAGTAGAGCCGCTGCTCCTCCACGTCGAGAGGAGCCAGTTGAGGTGGCTCGGGCATCTGGTAAGGATGCCTCCTGGACGCCTCCCTGGTGAGGTATTCCGGGCACGTCCCACCGGGAGGAGGCCCCGAGGAAGACCCAGGACACGCTGGAGGGACTATGTTTCTCGGCTGGCCTGGGAACGCCTTGGAGTTCCCCCAGAGGAGCTGGAAGAAGTGGCTGGGGAGAGGGAGGTCTGGGCCTCCCTTCTGAAGCTGCTGCCCCCGCGACCCGACCCCGGATAGGCGGAAGAAAATGGATGGATGGATGGAAAGACAGAAATACGTGGTCCAAGAATGAAGGTAATCTGTGAGATGATCAGCTGAGTTTTATTGCAACAACAGGAAACACAGAGAACAACCTGGCCTGTCTCTGTGCCTCTGCTTCTCTGTCACTGTCTCTCCACACTACTCACTGTGCCTCGCTCATATATATATATATATATATATATATATATATTAACAAACATTCTGTCTTAGCAAGATTTGATACAAGGTCAATGGAAAACACAAAGMTAAACACAAGTGATATCTAAGAATGATTATTGTTAGCAGATCTTGTTCTGACTTTAAACATTCTATCTGCAGATGAACAGAATGTCATAAAAACCTAAGTCATTAAAGGATGTCATGAATAACTGGCTTAAACATAAAAGTATTAGAACCATTACAATGGTAAAAAAGAATTCTCTCAAAATGAACAAATGAAAATCAGACAAAGCTTTTCAACCATGCATCAGGAGAATTGAAAAAATAAAAATAAACTCATACAACAGGCCTGGACAGACATGATGGTAAATTAATATTTTATTGCACAACCTTTGATTTTCACTTGTTCATTTTGCTAAAATTTTATTTATTATTACTTTTGTCAGATTCAAGTTATTTCTGATTATTGTGGGGTTTCCTCTCGTTAAACGAGGGGCACCAACAATTTTGTTCAGCTGTATTCTGTGTCTATGTGTGTGTGTGTGTGTGTGTTTATGTACACACACATGAAATGGGTTTCTCCACATGAACAAGAAAAAGCACCATGTCATATTTATTAAATCATTAATACAAGAACAGTTTGATTATAAGAATTTATTTATAGAAGTATTAACTGTACATAGTTCTTTATAATCACCAAAACATAGATTTAAAAAAATCTTTTACAGAATCTGTAGAGTTTGATTCCACTCAGTGGGGGAAAGGGTTTTGTGCAAGTTGTGATTAGCTCTGCTGTGAAAACTCAGCTTTTAGAGACAGAATATTTAATCAAGCCAGCTCCAGTGTAACCATCACTCAGGGCCAGTCGCCACATTCTTCGCTCTAAAGATGCTTTTATTTGAAACAGAGTCTTAAATATTGAATATTTGATCGAAAAAGGTGACTGTCAGTGCTACTAAACAATCTCATAAATAAATAGGATTCATGGGTCAAAGTTGAGCTTTTTGTATATTTCTGCTTCCCAGCATCCAAAGCAGAGCAAATATTCATCGGACATTTTAGCAGATGCTCTAATTAAAAGCTTTCCAAAAATCTCTTTGTCCTAATTGACAAAACATCTTATATGAATGTAACGTCCCTTTTGCTCAAACACTTTTACACACAGTGAAAAGCAGGATGAAAGCTAAATAAATCTCACAAATTTCTGGTGATATATTGTGATGGATGCTGTTATTGGTCCTTACAGCAGCACCTGCAACCCTCGTGAGAATATTCTATAACACCAGAGGTGTTAAAGTAATCCTCTCTCCATAAAATGCTTGAATGGTTGAAGGTAGCACTACTTAAACCAACCTCTGAGTGGCGATCACACGCCACCCAAAATAAACGTTCATCCAACCTCTTTACCCTGAGAGGAACTTTAAAGGAAATAAAGGATACTTTATAACAAAAATACTCCAGAGTAAAGCTTTCGTAGGAAAGTGGGAGGGACACTTTTTTTGCATAAATATAGGAAGGCCATTACAGGCTAAGGCTTTAGAAGAAACCCAACTCTCGGACATCTGCAATCAAAGTCTCTAAAGTGGGTGAATCTTTGTGAGTTTCACTTGATTGAAGTTTTCCGTTGCGAGTCTGGCCGCAGATCTGTCTCCTAAAACAGCGTTTCAATCGTGTCCGCTGTCACTCTTGTAGCTGGGGGTAGAAGATGAAAAGGGGTTACAGTCCCTGCAGGGAGACATGTGACTTTAACACATTGCTTTCTTTCTTTAAACCAATTTACGCACTCAATCAGCACGTCACGACTTCACTCAGTAGCACTAACTTGTACATATACACTGTGCCAAACTGTTGTGCAAACTGTGTAACTGTCATAAAGATTTTTCAATTGTGTATTGTGTCTCAGGCCTCTGTGTCCCTGTGATGTTTAGTTTGCCATGTGAGCCCAATTAAAGGAAAAACTACTGAAGAAGGGTATTCCACATTATTAACCACCATTTTCAACAATACAGGAAAGAAAAAGGATCTCTGCTGCTGAGAAGCATGAAATAGTTTAATGCCTTGAACAAGATACGAAAACCTTTGATATTTTTCAAAATCTTTCTTTTTCACAAGAAATCATTCAGTTGGGATCTATATAAAGTGGAACTGCTATGCTTTGCAATGAATTCCCCCTTATTGTAACTCCACAAGCCCGTCTTTTCTGAGGCGTGTCTCAGATCAACTCGTTTTGAGGCTGTCTCTTTGAGGCTCTTTATGCCCCGCCCCCCTCCAGCTTCCAGAGTGGTCTGTTTTAGTTTGATAAGGGAGTTTATGACTCAGTTGGACCCAAACAGCAGCACTGGGGCAAACTAAATTAAGATTTTCTGCGTTTGACTCCAAATACACAACAAAATGTATTAAACGGCTAAAAAAGTGGATTTTTCATATGCGCCTTTTAAGAGAGCAGCTGCTACAATGCCATTACAGAGCAGCAAATAGACACTGATGGAGACCTGCGGACATCAAGGTGTAGGATCCTCCAGAGACTTGGAGGGATGCATAAACCTTCCATTCAGCCACCTCTAACTGATGTTCACAAGCAGAAACAGCTCAGAAATACATGAAGACTAAAATCATCTTCATGCAGGAGGGCAATGCACCTTCTCATGCTGCAGGGAACACCTCTGCATCATCAGCTCAGCTGCTACGGGCATAAAATGAAAGAAACTACTGGTGTGGCCCGGACCTCAACCCTCATCTTTGGATCATCAAGCCCAAGATCTCTGAGGGAGGGGGGGCAGTTCACATCTAACACTTCAGAGGTTATTCTGACATTCTGCAAAGAAATTCAAGCAGAAAGTCTACAACAGGGCTATTCAACTGGCGGCCTGCAGGCCACATCTGGCCCACGAGTGACCAAAGTTAGGCCCACCAACTGGTTAATTTATCTTTCAAGCACAAACCCCCGTTTTCTACTTTAATTTCTATAAGTTTTTTTTTAGATAAACATAGACATGTTTCTACAGAAACGTCAGAATCTTGGCTACAAGCTGGTAAAAAACATTTCTATGAACATCCAAGACAAATAAACTACAACCAGTTGAAAATAAAACCATGAGAGTGAAAATAAAATTGGTTTAAAAATTTGTCAAGTCAGAGATGTCAAAATATTATTTGTGTTAAACAGGAGGCATAATGTGTTCTTTTTATTTTTGTTGTTTTATTATCACTACTTTTATTACACAGGGTTCTGTACGTTATATTAAGAGCAGCAAAATAAATTAATTCAAAGGTAACAGATCTTTGTAATACTTGGTTTATTTACAAATTAACTTTAATTGCTGGATGTTCGGCCCCTGAGTAGTTGATCTGCAGTAACCATGGGCCCCGGAGCAGTTTAGTTGAATAGCCCTGCTCTACAAACTTACCAGTTCAATAGAAATGTTAAAATGTAACTTCATCTGTTGAGACATTTTTGTTTGTTTTTACTGATGAACATTTAACAAATGACCATTTTCAGTTCTTTACAACCTATAAAATATTTTGAAACTGTCATCTGTAATAATTTGGAACAGTGCATTTTAAGTTTTTTATTTAAATAAAATATTATTATTGGGAGTTTTTTTTCAATAATATTCTAATTATACTCTAAGTCATGAAAATTATGCTGACCTTCATTTGCATTGTCTATTTAGGAACATCAGAGAAAAATGATTGCATAATGATTTAGAATGAAGAACTGAAGGTGTCTACTGAAGGCCACAGTTATGACACTTACTTGTCTCAGGTGGAGTCACGCCACTTATTTGTTGAACTCCAAGAGCTCCGTTTCCTTCAACACTGAGCTCCAGCTTTGCTGAAGGACTGTGAGGATTATGGGAGGGACTCAAGCTGCCTGGAGCTGGTTTCTTAGCTACTGGCGGAGGAACTTTGTCACCTTTCATCCTGCCGTTTGAGACGGCGCCAGCCTTTGATTGCTCAGAGACCTGTCTGAGCTCGGTCGCCAGGGTTTGCTTCAGACTAGCCTGAGTCTCTGCAGAAAAGGTGTCCGCGGTCTCTATGACGACCTTCTTTGTGCTCCTGGAGAAGATGAAGCTCGCAGTGGAGGCTGGAGACTTGTACACGTCGCATCCTTCAGGCGACTTCAGAGGCGGAGCTCCTGGTTGACTAACACGGCTGGAACTGGGAGACTTCATGCCCAGTCTGGAGGGAAGAACATCTCTTGAAGACATGGCTGCAGTTTTCAGACGTATGGCCTCCTGCAGGCACGTTGAAGGTGAGCTTACGGTCACGGTGGGTGTTTTTACAGTTTGAGGGGAAGATTTTAATGACAAAGACTTGCGGATGGGTTTTTGGGGAATGTTTTGGGGTCCTTGGATTGAGACGGGACAGTTATCCTGAACTGGGGCTCCCTCGTTACTGGACTTGTCTTCTAACGTGGGTTTCATCTGATCTTCAGTCATGCTGACGGATCGAAGGCGAACCATCTGGAGCAGCGAGGGAGTGACGAGCGGTATGTTGGCATCCTCTTTAGGAATGGGTGAAGTTTTGTGGCGGGAGAGCAGCTCCTTACTCCTGGAGTCTCGATAGGATCCGCTGGATTGCCTTCTGAAGTTAAGCCCATGGGTTAAATTTTCTGATGGTGGAGGAGATACTGTCGACTCAGTAGCTGGAGCTGAATGTTGAACACCGACTGGGAGAGCACAGGGGGGAGGATCTTCAACTTTTAGAGAGTTCCTCTTCAGAAAACCACTGAGAGGAACTACAACTAGTGGCTGTTCTGCTTGGGCAATGGGTGATGCAAGTGACAGCTCCACTGGTGGAGGTGAAACATCGTCGGCAACGTTTGAATTATTCTGCACCACATGGCAAGACGTTTCATCAGCAACGTCTGCTTCTGAAAGCGCCGGTTTGCTGTCAGTCTCAGCTGGGGTCGGGTCTGACATGTCCACTGAGGGTGGAGGAGGTAAAGGAAACTCGACCTCATCGCTTCCATCAAAGGCAGAATCGCCTTCCAACGGAGGAGGAGGAGGCGGCCAGCAGGAGTCCTCAACATGGGACTCCTCCTGTTCCCGCAGAGACCCGTTCACCGGTACGGACAATGACGAGGAAGGTATTTTCTTCTTGAGAGGGGGGGTAGGCTGGTATGCTGGAGGAGGTGTAGGTGGAGGTGAGATCTTACTCATTTTGGGGACCTCTATTGAAAGGGTCTGCATGTTGTCCCCTCTTTCTGCCTGGCTTTTATCAACCGTAATTCTAACATCATTTTGTGCTTGTGTTGAATTTGTTTCGACAGACGTCTGAACTTGTGTTGCAGCACTTTTTATTTCATTTAGTTTTGTCTCTGCTGGTTGATCTGTGTTGAACAGTACTCTCATTGGTTTTTTCATTATGGGTGGAGGATCTTTCTTTGGAGTCGTCTCTTGAACCTCCTGGGTTCTCACAACAGAGATACTTTCTTCTCTGCTCTGAACGTTGACCTTTTCGTTTGCCTGGACTTGTTCTGTGCTTGAACGGTCCCTGACATCCTGCTCCGTCTCAGCACGGTCATCACTGTGACGATCTACCATCACAGACTTTGCTGTATTCGTCTGCACTTCTGAGACTGGTTTATCTGCAGTTGTCTGCTTCTCAGCTATAAGTTGTGTCGCTTTTGTGGGTTTAGTTTGGGATTCTGTTTGTTTTTCTGTGCTTTTCCAAATCTCTGCTGGTTTGTGGACCGTTTTGCTCGTGCTAGGTCCACACAGGAGCTCTACAGTGCGTTTGTTGTGAGCCCATGTCTCTGGAGGTGGAGGGCACGGAGCTTTGATCTTAGGGGGTGGAGGGATGTTCAGCAGATCTCTAACTTCAGCTTTGAAGTTTGAGGAATGATTATTTGGATTGAGCTCTCCAGGAGCAGCAGCTGGTGATGAGTCATGCGGAGACACTGTCGTGCTACATGTGGAAACATCTGCGTTCGTGAGCTCGGACGTGCCCGACGACAAAGAGGTGAGAGAGGAAGAATGAGAAGCTCCTGAGGACGAAGCCCGGGAGGCCGATCTGTCTGGTTTGATGGGACTCTTCTTCTCCTTGTCTGGAGAGGTCGGGGAGATCCCTTTTGGGGAAAGAGTAGGAGTGCCACTTTGACTAGAGTAGCCACTGGAAGGGGACATTGTCCGTTCAAATTTTTCTCCTTCCGATGGATTTTTCTGTAAGGAGGAGGAACTGGACTCTAGAGGGGGTTTTGTTGCTTCTTCGTCCTTGTTAGAAGAGGCCAGTAAAATTCCAGAGGAAGAGTCAGTAGAGTCTGAGATGGGAGTTGGCTTTGTGCTGGTATTTGTAACCAACTTCATGCCACCTTGGGCTGCAACATCTTCCAAGGTTTTCTCTTCTTCCGAGGCAGAGTTGCTGATATCTTTGATGTCCATTACAATCTTAGAGTCCCCTCTTATCTTTTTACCGTGCAGCGAGTTTATTCTGCGTGGAGGTGCGGGAGGTTGCTTGGTCTTTGTAATGGACAGACTGTGAGAGACGTTGTGTTTGTTTTTTGCTTGTTCCCCAGCAGTCATTGGCTCAGTCGTGCTCTCATCCCTCGATTTTGGCGGATTTTCACCTTTACTGCTAACCACACTTGAAGAATCACAAATATTAGCAAGGTCTTGGTCCTTAGAAAGCTCTGTTTGGCTCTCTTGCACATCAAGACCAACTTTGCTTGTGAATGTGTGCAAGGAGTCAGAAATAACTGTCTTTGAGGACTGGGACTCGCTCCAGTTTGACCCTGAGGCTGATTTGGGTAACAGCGTGACATCATAGTTGGAGCTATTTGTTTGGGAACCGTCTCCGTCTGATCTTCTGGACAACAAAGGACTGACTGCCGAGTCCCCGGATGCAAGGCTGCTTTTGCTGACCGTGCGAATGCCGCTTCCATGATTGACACTGCCGCCTCGAGTTCGACTGATGCTGCGGTCAATCTCTATTATTTCGACGGAGGCTGGCAAGACCGCGTTAGGAATGATTGTAGACAAGTAAGTGGCCTGAGGAGAGATGGACATCACTGGTCCCTAGAAAGAAACAGAATGAGGTATTTCACATCAAACCAGATACTGGAGTTTTACATAAAAAATACATTTATTAGAAATTTTGATGATTCTTACCTGAGGCTCCTGCAGGAAGTTGAACATTGAGGGAGTGAATGAACAAGAAGAGGTCGTGCCAGGCACTGCGAGGGACTTGGGTCTCAGGGCAGAAGTGGGACAGAGATGGGATTGCTCATTTTGGTAGACTTCTTGGAGGTGTTTGCTCACAGCAGCTTCATCACTAAAGACCTGCTTAGGAGTGAATAGAGGACCATTTAGAAAACAAACAAATGTTAAAGTTTTTCAGATTTTCCCCCCTTCATAATACTTTACCTCCAGTTCTGAAAGGTGCACCCTCGCTCCCTCCTTGTCTGCTACAGGAGTCCCTCCATCAACTGTCGGAATAACAATAACGCTTGATTGGCTGTCGCCGTCGTGCTTCTCGTGATTTGGGAGCTTAGCCGAGACAAGCGGCTGAAAGGTGGAGCTTCTGTTTAGAGCTGTAAGGAAAGTGAGTTCTTAGAATTAACCTGTCACTGTTTACTCTGTAAAACAGCGAGAGAAGACTTGAACATACCGAGCTCTTTCTGGACTTGGTTGGGGATGCCCATGATGGTGGTCCTCCTGTTTCTCTTTTTGCTTCGATCAGTTTTTTTTACTGGGTTCAGAGGCTTGAATGTGGATCCTGACAGATAAATATGGAGCAAAATAACATTACAGCTGTAAAGCTGTACCTGAGCTAAAAGTTCTTTATGTTAAATTCTTATATCAATTCCATTTGCGTTGCACAGGCAGTTTTTTTCTCTTTTGATTTAGCATATTAGCATAAAAATTAGCAACAATTAAATGTGGGAACAAGAACATTTGTACGATTTTCAGCTTGATTCTATTTAAAAGCTGCCAAGATGCTGGAGTCAGTGAATACAAAAAGTATTTAGAAATGTCTGTATAAACTTTATTGACAGATAGTTTTGCCAACTTTCTGAACAGAAACTGAAAGGGTACGCAGGAGAACTGATGTTTGAAATGAAGTCAGAGACCACTCACAGTCACTGCGTGGGCTTTTCTCGTGCGCACACATCCACACACGGAGTGACGCGCTCTGCCTCCCAGCTGTGATATTAAGCAGCCGAGCTGTCTCGGATGCTTTGAACTTTAGAATAAATGTTAAAATAATAAAATCCCTAGCTGTGGATGTGAGTGTGTGAGTCTGTGTGTCAAGTTTCTCATTCTTTGATGTCCCACCAAAGAAGCCGAGAACGAGCAGCGAATACTAAATGAAAACTGAACCGTGACTTTTTATTTAGTAATAGACTCTGATGCAAAACTCAAACTTCTGTAGCAATGTTGTTATTAGTTTTACTTTAAGTTGTGGAATTTATGGTAAATGGTCTGAACTTATATGTTTATATACGGTCACACACACACAGATGGTGGTAAGCTACGTTGTAGCCACAGCTGCCCTGGGGCTGCACTGGTGCCACTGGACACTGTGACCACCACCAGCAGCAGCAGGCAAGGCGGGTGAAGCGTATTGCCTAAAGACACAACAACTGAGACGGTCGGAGCCGGGGTTTGAACAGGCAACTCACTGGTTACAGGTAACCCCCACATAAGCTTATTTTTAAAAACCACTATCACACACAAGACTCTTTCAGTACTGGTGTGTGTTTTGACCACCTCGGTCCGTTCAGAAGACACACAGAGGCAGAGAGGAGGGACTGAAACCCACCACCTCAGAGCAAGGCAGTAACAACAGATCCAGTACTCTTAGTAGTCGATTTATGACATAGCATAACATCTACTGTACAGGCTTCCTGTGGATCCTTAAAAAAAATTCAGAGGTCTTAAAAATCACACAGGATTATAATTTGTCTCAAATATATAAAATTAATTGTATCATTTCTTTATTTACCAAATGCCTCTCGCAGCTAGTTGTTTTGTGTTAAACGTTTGGGTAAAAATGTTGCTGTTTTTTTATTCCTATTTGTATTTATTGTGAAGTTTATCTTAAATTTCATTTCAAGTGGCATTAAAAAGGTCTTAAAAGTCTTAAATTTAACTTGCCTTAAGCTGGAGGAATGATGAATGTAACATAGTTCTAAATGACACCTTCAAGGACCACCCACCTGCAGGTGTCTTTACCATAGCCAGACTCCTATCCGATTTAAACTTGTGGTGGGTGGATTTTTTTTATTTTTTTTTTTTGTCCAGAGGAGAAAATAAATATCAACTTTATCTGCACTTTGATTGGGTAATGGCATGTTTGCATTGTAAGGCTGTATCTGAGCTGTACATGTGCAGTTAATCTCATCTGTGTGCCCTAACCTCACCCCAAATCAGTGGGCAACAGTAGCTGATGTGAAATTAGGCTTGACCGAATAGAAACACAGTCTCTAGGTTCTAGAAATCAGGAAGGAACCGGGCTATAAATCAGTGCAAAATGGCCATAAAAATATGCAGCATGGATAAAACCATGACAGTCAGGCTATTTTGGATCTTAAAATCCTAAAAAGACGTACTTTGACATATTTTGATCTGTGTAACATTTTTTTTTAACCTGCACTGATTAATGTTCTCTGAAACATTTGAGTAAGACAGCGTATCCATCTGTGAAACTTCTGAACCGTCAAAGGAAGCATCAACTCAAACATTCAGCAGTACTGTCTTCTGAAAAAGCCAACACACACAAACAGCGTCGATGTTTACCTTGGTGGGTAAGCACAGGCCGAGTTGACTCAGCAGGGTTTACTGGGATATCAGTACTCCCCGTGGAGGATCTCGACTCCGGAGAGCTGACTCTGTCCTTGGAGCTGATATCCTTCTCCGGACGCAGAGTGTCTGTGGACTGCAATGAACACGCACACAGAAAACAACGCTAAGTTATACGATCTTCAGATAAGTGTGTGTAAACTGATCCACAGAGCTTTCAGCGCACTTACAGCTATGCTTTCATCGTCATCAAAGTTCACTCCATTCTTGTGTTCTGTACAAACCAAATCAAATATAAAACCACAAAAACATGCCAATGTGTTGACATTTTAAAGTTGTGTGTTTATATATGTGTAGCTGGTCTAATCGCGGTCTGACCTTCCTGTTGCAATATCTTGAGTCCCTCCTGAGCCTCTGTATGCAGGTCCTCCAGGTACTGAGACCGGCTGCCCTCAATGAAAACATTCTCCTGGTGGTGCTGAGAGGTCGTGTAGTGAACCGTCAGCCTCTTCTGGTCTTCACCTCCCTTTGAGCCAGCTGATGGTATAGTTTGGGGGGAAAAAAGGACAACTTCATTAGGTTTTTATGGAAGTGAATATAATTTGAAAGGCTCTAAAAAGATGACCTACAAGTTTAAAGGTGGAACTTTTTGACCTATTTGGCCTTTCGAACTCAACAATGTGGGGTTATTATTTTAAGTTTGTACCTCTTTGAAACAAATAAGAACATTTAGCCAACATGTCTGTCGTGCAATCTTTATCCAATCCTTTGTACTCTTTGTATCTGTGAACCTTTTCGTCAAATCTCCTCAGTCCAGTTTAGTGGACAGATGTCCCAGCATGGCTATAGGCTTTTAGCTCAAAAACTACAACCTGCTTTATCTCCTGCAGGATCCTAAAGCTTCTGCGCCAATCTCTGTCAGATCAGATAATCTGGATCGTCTGTCTGTGGGACCGTCTTCACCTCCACGTTGGGCGAACACAGTGCAAATAAAACAGGAAATCAATATGCAAACATAACATTTGAATAGAGATGGAAACAAAACAAAACAAAGGACCTCGCAAGAAAACCATTCGTTCTTTGATTTTCTTCAGAGGAAATAACTTCAGTATTTATTTCTTTGGGTATGTGTCCAGGAATGAGACCTTGAGATGGAAAATGTGTGCATTTGATGTGAAAAATAAAGAGAATTAAAGGTTTTGGGCTTTTCATTAGCTTGTTAAAGCAGAAGTTCTGATCGTTTGAAGCTGAGTTCTGTGGAGAAGTTATAAAAAATTTAAATCTGTTATAGATCTCGGCTTGGTTAGTTCTGATTAAATTGACGAGCTCAAATCCAAGTTTTAGGAATGATAGACTTGTTTCTTTTTGTATTTTATTTTCAAGTTTAATTCTGAGATTTTTCATAGTTGACTTGAACAAATTGAGTATATTTGTGTATTCACAATGTCGTACATTAGCTTTAGGCAAATCAAGTAGATTTGTCTGTAATTTGGGAAGAACATCAGTCATGCCAAGTGACTGATAGCTCAGCTAAACAAGGCTTAATGTGAGGTGTCTGCTTTCCCTCCTTTGTCAGTCTCAGCACTGGTTCTCAGTCCTACCTGATTAGGTAACCCTGTGAATGCATAGTGTGTGTGTGTGTGTGTGTGTGTGTGGAGTCCCACCTGGACCCTCAGGCTGTGGGAAGACTGCAACTGGTTTGATAAATTTCAAAAAAATAAAATATAAATAATCAACTGCAACCTTTTTATCAAACATCACCCATAAATGGTGATGTAGTCATCAGATGAATTTAACAAGAGAAGAAGACCCCCAGGAGATTCTATCAGACCCCCGCAGAAGGTTTAGGGATTTTGGGGTAACTGCTTAAAAAGACAGTAAATCCCTTTTATCTCATTAAAGCCCTTTGCTCTGATACACACCAGCATGTCTGTTTGTAGGATGAAAAGACGAGTTTAAAACAAAACAAGTTTATCTTCACATCTTTGAACTAAAACAAACTGTGTGAAGAGGACTGGGGAACCATCAGCCCAACGAGCTCCACGTCGTTTGGATGAGAGTAAACAGCGTTCCCCACGTGAGTCGGCACTCACCCTTCTTTTTGAAGACGGACAGCAGAGAGTGGATGCTCTTCCTCAAGTAGACCACCATGCCTACGCCAGCGTCATGGCAGATGCAGAATTTAAATGCGGGACGGAGTCCAAGTCCAGCAAACTGTAAATTTGTTTGAGCCTCAGAGAGGATCCAGGTGCAGGAACCTTTGAGAGCTGCAGAAAGTAGCCGAGGAGGCTTCAGAGTGTCCTGGTGACTTGAGGAGTGCACAATGAGATCAGCTCCCAGCTGCCTTATCCCTGGCTCTGTTTCCCTCCTCCTCCTCCTCCTCCTCCTCCTCCTCTCTTCCCTCTCTTTAGTTCAGTTTTTGCTCACACTGGTCATCTCCAATTGCAATTCCCTCCCTATTGTCCAATAAGGACCCCCACTCCCCTCTGGTCCTGCAAAACGCCTGTCAAAGTTTGTCTTTCAGGAAGGCAACCACCCCCCACTTCATACAATATAAAGAAGGGGTCTGCAACCTGCAGCTCTTTGGTCCCTCTGCAGCGACTCTTTGAAGTTTGGACCAAAGCTAACACGAGATCACATTTTTTGGCTAGCTTTATCAGCTGTTATTGTCAATGTGTTTGCAAGTATGTGACCAAACATGATGATTAGCCTGTTAGCTACTTCAATAATCCAAGTTACAGCCTTAAACTTTGATCTTTCTCTCAAACCCATCAGTGTTATCTTTACTAGACTAGATGATCATGAGAATGTGAACCAAATATATATGATTGCATAGTTCAATTGTAGTTCTTATTAGCTTTAGTATAAACTATATACAGTATTTTTTATTTATTTGAACATATTGGGTTTTTTTTTAAGTGTAAAAATAATAATAAACATTAAAACTCATTTTATATTTTTAGTCTTGTAATACCCCCCCACCAGGGCAGAAAAAACACCCTTCAACAAACTCAAAATGGCTCACGGGCCACCAGTTGATAATCAGAGTTGTAGCTTGTTTTGCAGCTTGGGACAGATTTCGTCAATGAGCTGGTTAGTACATTTACTTTCTTTCAGTACTTAAGTAATTTCTTTGAAGATTTGTAATTGATACAGAGTATTTTTTTTAAATTGTAACTTTTACTTTTATCTTGTTACATTCAAAACTTAAAAATTATACTTTACTGCTTTACTTTAAAAGTTAACGTCTTGTTTCTTGTTACAAATTGATGTTCCAACTCATCATTAAAGGAGTTGTTTATGCACTAATGAAGTGATGAAATTACTTAAACCAGCTTATGTCAACTGGTTCCACTAAATGGAATTGAGTAAATGTAACACAATTTACTCAGCTCAGTTTAGTGAAACCAGTAAATTCAGCACTTCATTTCTTAGAGTGTGTAAAAGCACCTTTACTTTTCTGATTATTGTGAGCAGTTTTATGACTTTACTGAAGTACTTTTCTTATCAGTAAAACTAAATTTTACTAAAATCATTTTCTGTTAAGGTATTTTTACTTTTTTCAAGTACTTTTTACACCTCTGCTTAATCTATTCAAAAAACTGTTCCAAGTTTTGTCCTTGAAGCAGTGACTATGTAGAAACTAAACGAGTTGAGAGATTTTGTGAAAGGAAGAACTGTTTTTACTTTTGTTGGAGTAATATTTGACCAGTTGGATCAGTACTTTGACACAAGTAAGGAAACTGAGTACTTTGTCCACCACTGGTTGTTGGAGCCAGAGGACAATGGGCCTCATGCAAGAACATGTTCGTATTCTTATCCTAAATTTCTCTTACTTTTGTTCGTACAAAGGG